TGGCCACAAGAGCTTTATGAATTCCATCTTTTAATAGTTGTCTTGAATTAGGCGAATGGCGTAGACTATCTAATCGTAGGATGTCGTTGACTAAGTTAAAGATAGATGATTGCATTGTGTTCTGTTGAAAATAAAAACAATATCTTCAAAAATGATTAATCTCTAATCTTTCGATAGTGCAATCTATTCAACGTTGGAGTTGCTTAAGCTTCATTTTCGAAAATTAGTTAAATGACCTTGGTAACCCATAAATCACACCAAACATTTACTCGTTTAGGATGGAGAGTTGTCACTTATGACGAATTATTTACCGAATCAGATGAACGAATCAGATGAATTGAAATAAATTTTAATGCAAAAAAATTACATATACCAAAATAGAGGACTATTCAAAACAACAACTAAAATGGAAAACCATCTACGCAAGTAGCAAATTTTAGTGTATTTTTTTATGAAACGATATAAATTTATTTATTTATATTATTTTCAACAGCAACTTAAAATTCCTTAAGCTTTTAGGCAGATTTGACTTAACACTAGTCGGTTCTGCAGATGGCAACCCAAGCAGTTCTCCTGATCCTGTGTGATGAGTTAATATTACAATTTCGATAATAGGGCGAATATTTTTATTGATGCAGCAATGCCAGATTAGGGCTATTTATCACTTGAAAACTTATTGCTATTAATATTTCCAAGTAAAAACTGGATACGTGATAACAAGCTGCTCGAAGTGGCATCGAATCCAGGACATCTGATTCAGGTCCAGTCGTTAGAGCCACTTTCTTACAAGCGAGTCCCAATATAAATTTATAATTTTTAACATAAAACTAACAAGTATTGTTCAATTCTACAATACTGAAAATCATATTCGATTTCCGTTATTTCGAAGTTGAAACCAGATAACAATAGTACAAAAATTTTAATATTAATAATAGTAAGAAGTGCACTTATAGTAGTCCAAGTAAGAAACGCAATTATAATTGAAAGAAATCATTTATAAACACACTCGCTATATAGCGATACTAATTGCATTTTTTTCTGGCTCACACGATGTCTCTTTATTACCTGTATAGAAGGCGATAATAATTGGATTGCATATGTTATGATTTCTGCTAACAGTTCAATTAAAGTCGATATGAATTATAAGTCGTAATTTTCTACAAAGCAATCCTATCGAGCCGTCTGACGTTTCAATTTAAGCGTCTGAGAAACAGTCGAATTATTATTGTATCACATCTGATTCTCACTCTTCTCGGCGGAGTATGAGTGCATACATACATCTACTCATCCGTAAATATATAAGGTGTCCAAGAACTCAACGTCAAGTCGACACGTGGAGAAAATTAGAAAACTAGTTGTAGATAAGACTTTGTCTTAGGGCAAGTTGCACAAACGTCCCGATAAGTGTACATAATTAAATAAAATAAAAATTGAGGTTAATATTGTCTAGGTTCATAAGTAAATTGAAATTTTTGGCAATTGATAGTTATCATTTGTTTTCAATGCAAACAATGACATGTCGTTTTTTACAATTTTTCCATTTATTTCTACAATATTGCACATACATCCCAGTACATTATAATCACATACATCCTAGAAAATTCCCTTAACAAACTTCAGAAAAATTTATCAGAATCCGCATAATCGTTTAGACGGAGTATACAGTGAGTGTTTGTAATTTAATATGAACTTTTTATAATAGCAATAAAGCTCAAATTGATTCTACGTTTTAGTTAGAAAACCTTTGTATGAGAAAAAGAAAAGGCTGTTTTTAGGATTTTTTCGTCAATTATTCGATTTTTTCCGTAAGAATCATCCTTGAACATCAACGAACCAACACATTTTGAGATTAATTTTTATATATAAGATTGCATAAATTAAATAAATTTGTTTAACACATTTCATTTCATCTATTTTGTGTTCTAAAAATGTATTTTATTTTATTGTGAACGTCAACTGCAATCAGTAGATACCTACGAAATAAATATCGTATATATTTTCGGCACGAATTCTAATTAGAATCGCCTAAGCGCCAGACGAAATTCTAAATTTTGCTGAATTTTTATAATTCAACCTCTTATCATAACCCTACAATATTTTAGTATTCGATTTCATATTATAAAATCTATCCTCATACAAAGTTTCATCAAAATCGTCAATTTTTTCCACAACGATGAAACGCCTCAGCAGATCTTCACCAAAACTCAATCACTACCATTCCCAAACAATATCTTTCAAACAAAAATGTTTATCTACGTGTTAGCCCACAAACCTTAATCAATTTTAAAATTTTGAATTTTGTGGGCTAACACGTAGATGATAATTTAACACTTTTCTACCAATTAGAAAGAAACGGCTTGGCCGGTAGTCAAACAGAACATTAAGATCTTATCGAGTCATATCAAAAGGCTTTCAAATTATTTGAAATCAGTACAGCCGTTTTTAGGAAAACGTCGACGAATGATCAAAAATCGGGTTACACACACATACAAATATACTTTTTCCAAGTGTGGTCTCATTCGATTCAGATTTATTTGTAACGTCGAAAAAACAAAATTAGCAAATCCGATTTTATGGCGAAAATAAACATCTCCTTTGGAAAGATAAAAAAAATCCTCTGCGGTTTGAATATTATTAACATTTATATTATAAAGTACTGAATTCTTGTGTTAAAATTATTATTTTACAAAAACTAGTAATTTAATAAAGAAAAATACAAAGTTAAAAATGAGAAAAACTTAAAGGCAAATAATATTTATATAATTAATTTAACTTATTAGACAAAAAAAGCATTTTTGTTAAGTATTTAAAAATTTTAGGTTAAGGTAGGGCAGGTCGCAAAGGTCCAATTTGATTTTTAGAAATCATACTGAGAAATCTAACCTACAAATAAAACATATTAAACTTGCAACTATCAAACTATGTGAAGTAAAATTCCCGACAAATCATCATGGTAGAACTGTTGTTTTCGAATTTTTAACCTGATCATCTGGTTCTTCTTATACCATAGGCGGGATAAGGAAATATTGAACAAAATTATTGGTACAATAAGTGTTTTTTTTCAAAAATTTGAAAAACCTCAAAAATCTATTTTTTGCGGAGTTCTAAAAGAATATTGAATCTTTTTCAAACTAGTGGGGCGCATGGCAACATGTAGCAAAAAAAAAATTTTTTTTTAAAAGATTAATATTTTTTAAAAAATTTTACTTTGATAAAATTAAATTTTTAAGAAACAATAAATTTTTGAAAAAAAAAAAAATTTTAGAAAAAAAGACTTTTTGAAAGAAAATGTTTTCTTTGTTTTGAAATATTTTGGAGGTTTTGAACTTTTTTTCAAAGCAATCGTACTGCTTTAACTGCATAGAAACGAAATATCGAAGCGCGTAAGCGCCGCATCGCTTTCTTATGAATAAATATATATAATAATAATTATGGTACGGAATCCATAGGAATGTAAACAAAATTCATACTTATTGTTAAAATCTCTATAAAATATCTGATAATTTTATGTCTAAAGATCATTTTTGAATGCCAAATGGCATTTTTTTTCACTAGATCTCCGTAACCGCTAGACCTGCCTTCGTGAAAATTTGATCAGTTTTTCATCTTGTTCATACAAGTAAAATGTTTTTTGAATTATTAAAATCGGACGCTCCGTTCTCTTACAAACTGAGTTATCGTTTTTGGTACTTTTTGCTCCGTATCTACGAAACAGCTAGACCTGCCTATGCCAAAAACTAATCAGCACATCTCCCTATCAATAGGAATCGAATGTTTTTTGAACCATTCAAATCGGTTGATACGCACGCCCGAAATCGTGAACCAAAAAATGCGGACACACAAAACACACAAAACACACACATACACATCCATTTTTTCTGAGGTATGCCAAAATGTTCAGAAACCTTCAAAACGTCGAGAAATGCATAAATTTTTATTTTCGATTTTTGGCAATTACTATAACTACTCTACGAGAAGTTAAAATTGCCTTTCGATAGACAAAAATGATCATATGATTATCATCATATTTTTAGATATTTTAATAATAAAAAAAAATGTTTACATTCCTATGGTTTCCGTACCAATGTTTACCCGTTCCAGCAATTTGCCTGAAGGCACGATGCCATAACCACTAGTATTTTAATTAAATAGCTACTTTTAAATGTAAAAATTATAAACAAATATATATCCCAATATTATCTTCCGATATAGTGATTGAGCCTACCAAGTTCGTAATTATTGCACCTCCCCGTTACGATGAGACTTTCTGCCTTCGCCCGGACGGACGGTCGAACGCGGTCAGTGCATAATTTGCAAGATTGCTACCGCCGGTTTGAGGTTTTGGTATTATACTTCGAATATACGATTTAGATTTGCCGATGATGCCAAGGCCATCGAAGGATGATGGATTATTAAAGCACCTGAGATATCTGTGGTCGATAGTCGGGTATAGACAATATTGCTTTGATTGACGCGGTGTTGTTTTTAGACTTTGTAGAAGCATCGTATCTATTCGCATCCCGACTGGAAATTGAAGTATGGCGCGGATCAGGGCTGCCCTAAATTAAGTAGGGTCCCAGTGCGGCAACCGTACTTGGCCCCTATGCGATATGTAACGCCTTGCCGGATAAGGTCTGTGTTGGGCAAACTGTTCCGGGCCCTAATCGAAAATATGAAATGGCCCCTATAAAAATATCGAACTTGGCCCTTAACTTAAAATAAGCATATGGCCCTGAAAATAATATGTGATATGGCCCTGAAAAATATATTTGATATGGCCCTGAAAATATATTTGATGCGGCCCTGAAAATAATATGTGATATGGTCCTGAAAAATATATTTGATATGGCCCTGAAAAATATTTTGACGTGGCCCTGAAAATAATAATTGGCATGGCCCATAAAAAAATGCATATGCTAAATTTTTTTTATTAATTCTTTTGATAACAATATTTTAATATATAATAACAATAAATAACAAATGTTAATTAGGTTTTATTGGTCCGCCTATGATCTCTCCCATTCTCCCAATCACGGGAATAATTTATAACCTTCCCGAGGGCTTGGTTAAATGCTTGCTCTTTAATAGGGCTCAACTGCGGATTTTTAATTGATTCAGTTGTCATTATACCTGTAACAAAATGTATAGCCATAAATAATAAAATCATCTATGTGTACTGTGTGAATAATACCTACCATATAAACACTTCACAAGTTCACTGTCTTTAAGACATTAAACACTAAAAAAATAAAAACTAAAAATTAAAATTAAATTATTCGATAATAATAAAAAGAAAAATACACGATAAATTGTTAACAAGAATACACTTACTTGAAGCATTGCGCGACTTATTGCCTAAATTTATGTTACATTCCGACAACTGCTGATCGACGTTATTCTGATTTACAAAACGCCCTTTATTCAAGCGGTATTGTTTTTTCAGAACATCTTGCCTTCTGTTTATGGTTTCTTCATTGTCCGTAGAAAACGCATATTCCTTTTGTTGCAATATTTTTAACTTTTCCAAGGCAATTTAATATGTATCTGAAATTACAACTCAAATCAAAGATATGTTTATATATATATATATATATATATATATATATATGTGTGTGTGTGTGTGTGTGTGTGTGTTTGTGTGTATATAACAAAATACACAATACGTAGTTGATCAATAATACTTACTCGCGTAATCTCGTACATCCACCTCATGAAGACTCCAATTATCCGATGCTGGTGCCGCCCGACGCTTCACCAAATCTTGAAGAAGAAGTAAATTTTCTCCCGATAGCTCATAATTATTTAAAAATGGGCATTCGAATTTATCTTATCCTTCATTATATATCAACCAATCCACCGGCACTACATCGATACTCTATTTTCACTTGTATCATTGAGAAATAAAACAACACAATACACTACTTTTCCACTGATTATTAAACGATAATTACACGACGTTCTTTTAAAACAAATAAAAATATATCGTAATAATATTTCGTAATTTTCGCACTTCCTATTAAACACATAACGACCGCTTAGCTTGGCATTCAGTAATGAACTAAAAAACTAACAATGGTCCTCTTTGATAGAAGATGAAGTTCTTACATACATGTATTGGTGCCTCGATCGTATTCCATATTATCAATCAATGGTTTATATAATATCATATGCAACGGCGCGATGATGATCTCTTTCTCTGCATTCAATATATACTTATATATATATATATATAAATTTTATGGGTCGTCGAATAAAAAATTAATGTACTATTAATTTTTTTACGTAGAACTTCAATATTAGATCTATTTGAACTAATATCAGTATTTCTGTCCACATAAAAAAATTGTTCGAAATAATATTTGACAAAATGTTTGTTGCCTATTCGTATTATATGAGCAACCATAAATGTATATTGTTCACAATCTGCTGTACGCCGGCATCTATAAAGTTAACGTGTGACATAGCGCCGATCTTTCTTACTCTTGCCCACTCTATTTCATTCGATGTTAATGTTTAGCAGTATTTAGAATATGTTAAAATGAAATGTAAAACTTTTGATATTTATTATTGAAGTAAAATTATGTAAATTTATTTCAGTTTTTCTACTTGTCCTATGTCAAGGTCCTATGCTTTAGATAGACCAAGTACGCATAAGGAAAAGGTCATCGATCCTGTTTCTGATTGTTACACTTTCGATACTCGATATGAGTTAATATTCATGTATAGTCTAGACTCTAAAATTAATAAATACGATATATGTGTGCTGGACGAATTTTCTAAGAAGGTCCTATATCTTATGCAAACAGTTCACGTACGCAGAATTGATCTTATTATTTCTACTTATTACATTCGATATGATTATTATATATATATATATATATATATATATATATATATATATATATATATATGTATATATAATTTCAGTGAGGAAACTACTATTATTATTAATAAATTGATCATAACTTATAGTACATTAATTTTTTTATTCGACGACCCATAAAAATTTATATATATATATTTATATATTATATGTCTCACATGACAAAATCGAAAAATAGTAATATACCCAATAACTTCTAATCACAAAAAGTATTATTTTTATTAAAAAATTATTTTATTGTATTCGCTATAATTTTAATATCTTGTTATATAATCGATTCAATAATTATTTTTATTGTTAATAAATTTTATGTAATTTCCTATCTTTCATGATTTTATTAATTTTATTAAAAAAAAAACACTTTTTGGTTTTGTATTACCATTGGATTTTTTGTTCAAAGTTGTATAAAGCTTTCGTAAATTCGTATATTATATTTATAATATATTGATAATAATGAATACCATGCAGATTATGGAAAGAACGAAAAAATATATTGTTACCGATTACATATTGTTATTATTTATTAATAGTTATTTTTTATAATTCATTTATTGTTTATTATTTATTATTTCTTTATTATTAATTATGTAATTTATTTCTATATTTATTTTAGACTATAACGACAATCATTGATCAATAATACACATTATAATCCTTTTTTTTTACAAAATATTAATAAATCAAACTATTTTGATTCTATTGATATTGAATCCTAGTAGGATTCAAATAAAGAATGCAGATAGGGCTTGTCTAAATAATCTGTGGGTAAGCCGTATTAGGGCTCTAGTAATGAATTTCCAATACGGACCGTATCATCATATCATGGGCAATACGTATTAGGGGTACAACAGGGCATCCGAATATGGCCCGTTTCAATTATTATAGGGCAATCCGTGTTAGGGCTGAATTCAGGCATGCCTTTTATGGACCCTATTCAAATTACCATATTAGGGCCGCCCATATATGGCCCCTATGAGGGCCATGCACTAAATTCCGTAATACGGACGCCGGAGTACAGCCCTATAGGGGCCTATAGGGGCCGGACCTGAGTTAGGGCTTGCCGTAACAAATTTCTACTCGGGATATTGATCTTTTTCATGATGTTGTTATTATATGAATAAAGACTTAAAATAGAATGACAGAAAAATTTGAAAAAAAAATCAAGTATTTTTTTATTTCATATTTTCAAAGTTTAACTATCTAAAAATATGGGTACGAGAAGGTTTTTGAAAATTTGAATTATTTTCGGAGATATAAGCATTTTACTGACTCGGTCTCCATACTGGTTTGTCTTCACGCAAAACTTTAAATGCGTTTTTCTCAGAACAGGCTTTTTCAGTACTGTTGACACGATTTCTCGAGTTTTAATCGACCGATTCACTTGAAATGTTCAGAGAGTCTTGTTTATAGACCTGTCTATAGCCCGAACTAGGATTATCCCCGAATTCTAATTTTTACTATTTTTAAAAAATTCGAGAAACTCAAAAAATAACACTTTTTTTCCAACAGTCGCCAATTTGTCAAAAAAAAAATTTACTCGTTGCTAGTTCGGGCGATTGCGACATCATTGTAGATTAATAATCTTTTTATTTTTTGCATTTTCGATGGCAGGGAGGGCTGAAATCATGTCGAGACAGAGGTGTCAATTTTTTGAGACCCCCACTTCATCAGCTGCCAGTTTTTACAATTTTTTAATTTTTGTTTTGTATTTTATTAATATTAATAAACGAGTAGTAAAAAAATGGATAGAAAAAACATTCATTGCTTTCTTTTACAATACTTTAAAAATGACCTGAAATTCATAGCTCTACACTAGAATACCCCCTTAAATTCCGGTAGGATAAGTTGTAATAATTGCAAAAAATCGAAAATAATTTTTTTGCATATCTTTTGTTCCTGAAATTTTGGCGAATTTTAGAAAATTATTGAGGCATGTGTGTAAGTGTGTGTGAAGTATGTATGTATGTATTTTTGATACAATTTTGCAAATGCAGATAATGCAGATGAACCAAATTCCAAAATTTCATGCAAATCGGAGCACAGTAAAAAAAATCAGACCCAAAACGCTCCATTGACTGAAGTATATGGTGAATATTATTATACTCTTCCAATTTTATATAAATATTAAAGTACATTTATTTCTCTTAAAAATGATCTAGAATATATAGTGATCAATACCATTTGAAACACGGTAAAATGTAAATTGTCGTTAATTTGATTTTCTGTACTTTTTGCACTATTAATAGTGCCAAAAATGCATAATAGTGCATTTTATATATTAGCTATAACATCAAAACGAAAAAAATCAATAGCAAATTTGCTGTTCAGGGCAAATCTCTAATATTTGAGTGCCACTTTTAACTTTTCGCAGGGTAACTTATAGTAGTAATCGCAAAAACATCGAAAATATCGTATGTGTGCGTATGTGCGGATACCATTTTTCATCGACGATCTCCAAAGCACAGATCAACCGATTTCAATAATTAAAGAAACTTTTGATTCCTATTTGCAGCGAGCCGTTTTGATTAATTTTAGGAAAATATATTTGCAAAAGCTGTCCTTCGATATTTTGTCTCTAAAAAGACACCTGAGTAGCACGAGCGCTTTGAAAAAAACAATAATTTTAAAAAATTTCAAGATTCTCAAAATTAACTAATTCCTCAAATTTTTTTTAAATATTTTAAATTGCGGCACGGGAAGTTCTAGCAATTTGCCTAAAGACACAATATGTCGTGCACCACTAGTCTGAAACTCTTCCGATAATAAAATTTTCAACAAGTTATCTTGAAGTTAATGTTTCAAGTTCTCATCATCTGCTAACTATTTTTTATTTTTGTACCTACGATCCGTTGACAAGTTTTTTTTCATATTGAAAATATGGAACTATTATGGTTGTTACAACTGCAGAACTTTTCCGTATCTTGAATAGATATAGAGTTAAAAATAATTGAGAGATAATACACATATATTGTATGTTTACTTTAATTACTCACTAAACCCGGTAACTCTGGTAATCTTTTAAAGATTATACGAATTCCAAGAACTGCTCGCTAATATACTGTAAATTTAACTAATCTAATCTTTTAATATGTTATTATCAATTGTTAATTTATTACAAACTTTCCGCAAATAAAAATCTTGAAATGACAAAAAAAACTTAAGGTGAAACTAAGTATGAGCAATTTGTAATTATTTAAGAAAATTTGAGGAAAAAGATGTGTTTGCGTTAACTTCTTGTATTTCGATTTGTATTGATTTTTTGAAAACTTTCCTAAAATCAGTCATTATAGTATAAAATTAAGCATGCGATATTATAAGCATCAAGTAAAAAAAATCAAAAAAATTAAAATCTACTATCAGAATAGTAATTCGGTCAGGTCCCACATTGAATACTTATAAAATATATATTGTAGACTATAAAACAAATTATTAAAATTAATCTTTCGAATATTGTCGAGTACAAAAAATATAGAAAATCAGAAAAAAAATTGTATGTAAAAATAAACCAAGAAAAGTGGTTTTAAATCACAGCATTTTTTATTTTGTATTCTACAGCCCTAAAAAATATTATATTTGATTAATTTTCAATTTTTGTGGATATGATTAAAATTTAAGACATAAAGTCATTGAAATTTTCCAATTTCTCAGCAAGTATTTTAATACTAATCAATAAATAGTAAATATGCGAATTTAGAGTCCTCAATTCGTAATTGTATAATTATTATTGTAAATTTAAAACTTTTTGTTGATAGAATCAGCATTTTTTTATAAATCTATTTTTCCACTTTTCCACCACTTTCAAGTAGGATATTTTCTTATCATCATAAATTGTATGTCGAGTGGATCGATAATCATTCGTAATCATTTAGATAAATTGGTATATAAAGAAAAGTAGATATAATTATTTCTCAGAAATACGTCTTAAATCATTTCGATTATATTATACGTCTACCAGTTCTGTGAATAAATTGATAAGATAAACTAGCGGGGCGCATGGCATCGTGCCTTAAGGCAAATTGCTCGAACTTCCCGTACCCAAAATTATTATTTTTTTAAAGATGATTAACATTTTTGAAAAAAATTTACTTCGAAAAAAATTAGATTTTTGAGAAACTATAAGTTTGACAAAAAATTACTTTTTTTGAACAAAAAAATTTTTATTGAAAAAAAAATGTTTTCTTTATTTTGACATATTTTCAAAATTCTGAACCTTTTTTCAAAGCAATCGTACTGCATTAACTACATAGAGACCAAATGTCAAAGCGCGTAAGCGCCGCGTCGCCGTCTAACGGATAAACATTGGTACGAAACCGATAGGAATGTAAACAAAATTTATACTTATTGTTAAAATATCTGTAAAATATCTATAAAATATCTGATAATTTGATGTGCATATGTCTAATGATCATTTTTGACCGCCAAATAGCTTTTTTTTTACTTTTTTCGTTAGATCTCCGAAACCGCTAGACCTGCCCTCATGAAAATTTGATCAATTCTTCATCTTGTCAATACAAGTCAAATGTTTTTGGAATTATTAAAATCGGACACTCCTTTCTCTTAAAAACAGAGTTAGTTTTTTTAGCACTTTCTGTCCCGTATCTTCGGAACGGCTGAACCTGCCTCGGCCAAAAGCTAATTAGCACGTCTCCTTATCAATAGCTCTCAAATGGTTTTTGGAATCCGTTTATCCGTGTTCTCGAAATCGTCAACAAAAAATAGTTTCCGCACATACAATGTCAAAATGTTCAGCAACATTTGAAACTTGAAGAAAATTTTATTTTCGATTTTTTTGCGATGGCTATAACTCACCCTACGGGAAGTAAACAAAAAATCGAAAATCTTCGAACTGATCCAGAATAATTTGACTAGTTGGTATTGGTATTTTGCCTTGAGGAAAGTTACATGAACTTCCCGATATGTGTAAATAATAGACTTAATCAATAAAAATCAATTAATTTATGGGTGATTAAAAGTATTCCGAGTGGATTTATTACACATAATTGAAAACGAACGAACACTTGACGTTCGGAGTATTTTCTAAAAACAAATTTTCACAAATCAATAATTTTTATAATTAAACTACTTATCGTAAGGCCGTGATATTTTAGTAAGTTCTAAAAGACCATGGTATATCGCCAAAAAAAGTTCAATAATAATTGGCTTAATTTTGTTTCAATATTTAATTACAATCAGTATCATTCCCAACTAATATCTTTCGAACAGTTTATGATTTTTTAAAATCTATTCGGTACTATGAGCTTAAATTCGGACGTAAAATTCAACATTCTTTTCCAAATTGCAAAGGAACGGCTCGGCCGATCGCTACACAAAACTGAAAAAAGATGATCCACATCAAAATGTGGCGATTGACTTTAAAATTTTTGAAATCGGTTCAGGCGTTTTTGAACAAACGTCGATAAAAGTTTCACTTGAGTTGCAGATTCATATATATCAATTATAATTTCAAGCGAAAATCGCCTCTCGTGGGCATAGCTGAATATAATCATAAACTAGTAGTGTATGGCATCGTTTAAACTATCGTTTTCAAATAGATTATTATAAATAATGTTATATTGTTTAATATTTATTTATAAAAATTATGTAATTCTAAATTACAAAATTAATATTATTTATTTAAAGTATGTAGGTGAGCTTTGAAACCTTCAGCCAGAATTGAAATGAAAATTTTAATTATTTTCGATATACAAAAAATTAAAAAAAAAAATTGAAATGATTTTTTTCTAAAGCAATTCATTTGTCAAAGCAAGTAAAAAGTTTTTTGAACCATTCAAATCGGATGCTTAGTTCTCTCAAAAACTGCAATTTTTTGTACATTTAGCTATGTATCTTCAAAATAGCTGGACCTTCCTTTACCAAAAACTAATCAACACATCTCCATATCAATAGGAATCGAATGTTTTTTGAACCATTCAAATCCGTTGATCCGTGCGCCCGAAAACGTGAACGCAAAAATGCGTACATACAAATCACACACACACACACTCATACATTTTTTCTGAGGTATGCCAAAATGTTCAGAAGCCTTCAAAACGTGAAGATATGCAAAAATGTTCACTTTCGATTTTCGGCGCATTACTGTAACTACCCTACGGGAAGTTAAAAATGTCTACAAATACTTAAGTATAATTAAGTACTCGAACAGGTAATTATTCACAACTGTATTGGACAACTACTGGATTGATATCTTAGTATGACGAATTGTATGACATTTTGATAGTTTCTATTACATATTTATATGAAGAAAGAAGTCCAACGAATCGAATGTCACCTTCTTATAGACACATTTAAAAAAGTTAAATGGAAAATTTAAATAATTTATTTTTAAAAAGAAGACCAAGGTTCAAAAAAATAAAAACATATCTAATGCTCATGTCGATTAGCAAGATAATATCGATTTAACTATATCTAACGAGCAAATCGATAATAACTTTGATATAATTAATATAAATGTAGGAAGCTTACTGTATCTCGCATTAATCGTATGTTCACGACAATAAAGAGTATATCTTTGAGAAATATCTCTGTAATTTTAAATTTAACTTATTGTAGTGCTTAATAACAAGTGTTAAAGTCGATCAAACTTGTCAATAAAAAACAAAGAGAACATCTACGAAATGAGCAGACACGAAGAGGATGATGCATGTAAGTAAGACACTGGAAGAAGAAATTTTCTGAAGCTTTCAGTTTAGTGTAGTAATCTATTAAGTTCAAAATCATCGATAATTAAAATGCAATTTCAAATTGGTTTTAACCTCTAAAGTTGTTAAATTGGTAATACAATGAATATTAACCATAAACAAGTTTTTTTTTCAGTAATTTTTTTTTTTTATTTTTATTATCATTTTTCTGCGAACATTTATTCCGGTTTCTCTATAAAGTTAGTAGATTTAAACAGCCAAAGATTATTTGGGATTTTGATAAAACTTTTGATGGCAATAAAATCAATAGTGCAAATTAAACCTTTAGAATAGGTATATGAGATGTTTTGGAACAGTAGAATTTACACCATGCAAAGTTTCACCAAACCAAAGGTTATTTTTTGTGCATTTTATGTACAAATAAAGAATATATGGACAACAATTACATGGAGTTTTGTTGTTTAATGTTATCTATTTATTTTAATTATATGTTTTGTTTTTAATGATGTTATAATCAATCTCAAGCGTTTTTCAAAAACTTCATTAATCATCAGTAATAGTCTTAATTAAGTAGTAACTAAAATAATATAGTGTTAAAGTAGAAGTTAAAAGCCAATCACCTTTGACATGTTTCAATTGGCCTTGAATGAACTAGTTTGTAGTGCTTCTTATCAAATGGTGCAATGTCATTTTAACAATTGTATAAACATGCCATTTTATTCGAAAATGAACAAAAATAAATAGATAATCAAGATTTTATCAAACACCTAATTATTGCAATAAAATTGATCAAAATTAATAATGGCATAAGTTTATTGATTTTAATATCGTAATTACAAAGAAAAATAGATGTCCGATAGATAGATAGCCAATAGTCCAATTAGATAGCCAATAACATGAGAAAACCACCCATAACATTAACGTTTGAAGGCTCAATATATTGAGCATATATACGTTAAAACTGATACAATCGCGGAAACGCTATTAAAACTATCCAAATTTTAAACCAGTGATGTATGGCATCGTGCCTTATGGCAAATTGCTGGAACTTCCAGTACCGTAAATGTTCGAGAAAAATTAAATGCTTTCAAAAAGATTATTATAAATACTGTAATATTGTCTAATACTTATAAGAACTATATTAACTGAATTACAAAGTTAAAAATTATTCACTTAAAGTATTTAAGTGAGCTTAGATAGAACTTTAACCAGAATCAAAATTGAAATCTAAATTATTTTCTAATTTTTTTTTTGAAAAAAGAATTGAAATGAAATAATTTTCGTTCTCAAAGCAATTGTTTCATCTACACTAGCAGAAAGTTTTTTGAATCATTCAAATCAGATGCTTATTTCTCTTAACAACTGCTATTTTTTGTACATTTAGCCTTGTTTCTCAAAATGGCTGGACCTACCTTTGCCAAAAACTAATCACCACATTTCCACAAATTGAATGTTTTTTTTTGGATACCCCGTTCTTTGAAAAACTCGATTTTTATTTTCTGCACTCTTTGCTCTGTATCTCCGTAACGGCTGGACCTGTCTTTGCCAAAAACTAATCAGCACATCTCTATCAAATGGAACCGAATGCTTTTTGAACCATTCAAATCAGATGATCGAAAACACACACACATCTATTTTTTCTGAGGTATGGCAAAATGTTCTGAAACATTCAAAACGTGAAGGTATGCAAAAAATTTCGGCCCATTATTAAAACTTACCCCACGGGAAGTTAATTACCATAAGGAAAGTTAATAAGGCCACTGTGTCGTTTTGTTCATATATGCCCTTTTTGTCCGTATTTTCACTACATATCTATGTTCCAGTTTCAAATCATTCCAAAATACGGATGGTCGTCGGTCTTTATCCGTTCGACATCGAAGGCACAAACTTTTCTTTCGACGCAGGCGACCAAATGCATTTACTGAAAGAAAATCCTAAACCTGGCTATTATGAAGTTATGAATCTACAAACGAGAGAAAAAGCACTTGTGCCAAAAGCATTGGTGGTCGAATATGGAAGAATAGAAAATGAAGAGTGAGTAAATATAATAATAATGTCTTGAATAATTACCATGATATGATAATGAAGTCATGTAATTACTATGAAAACATAGACTCAAATAGGTTAGAGCGGGGCTTAAAGGTCCGCGGGTGAAAAAGTCCACCACCGATATATCAGATACAAGTAAAGTAAATAGTCTTTTAATAATTATAGTTATCCAATAAGACATTGAATCTGTTTGCTCATTGCCAGTCCCATTCTACCCCGCCTATAAGTAAAAAGGTTATAAGAAAATTTTAGAAACATTGTAAAAAACACGTTTATATAATTAGCAATTAACTGGAGATTTAACTGCAGATAATATGATAGTACCTTGTTATGATACATTTGATATGTGTTGTGAAAGTTCATTTTGTATAATAACGTCAAATTGGACCTTTGTGCCCCGCCTTACCCTATAGTTCTACAGCATTTTTAATTCACAATTTTTAATAAAATAGTTAGTAAATTTTATGACATATTTTGAAATTTCAGCTGGTATATAGGAAGTGCTACATGGGAACAAATAAAGATGATATTAAGTGAGAAACAGAAACCACAAAGCTTTCTAATTTTGAAAAACGGAGACAAAAAGTTTTTGCTCGGATTTCTAGATTCAATAAAAAATGTAAAGCGTTTTGATATCGAAATTAATGATAAAGGAAGGTTTCATATTCCCGAAATAGGAGAGGAAGCGTCATTTGCAAGCTTGCCTGCACTCGTTTGGTATTATAAAAGTATGTATTTAAATGTAATTGTATTAAGAATCGTATCGAACATATATTTAAATACAGTTTTTAATTTCCGCATTTAAAAAACAATATTATGAACAAAAAGTTATAAATATAAACATATATCTCTGACAATGCCTAAGATTAGATTACTTCCATTTCTAAGTAGCCACCAGTAGTTTGTTCACAGCAACTGTCATCATTCTAAAGTATTTGATTACACAATATAGCAACTATAAACCAGATGTAAGTGGCATTTTGCTTTAAGTTAAGTTGCATATCTGTAGATAATCAACAAGAATCAAGATTTACCACTTTTCGTAGATCTTCAATAATATAGAATGTTCGTTCAAACCACTAACTATATCGCAAGAAAGACCAATTTAAAAAAAATAATAATAAGCAGAATACCAACTGTCGACATTTTTTTCAGAATGTTGTATATGAATAATATTTGATCAACATATAAAATACCTTTATATATTGATTTTTGAATAAACATTTGTACTTCTAGCCAACAATCTCGTGCAAGATTTGAAGTTGTCCGAGCCTGCTATAATAACGTCTCATATTAAACGATTTCTGAAAAGATCAACAGAAGGCGCCAAGAACAATACAACAATAGAAGCCTCCAACGAAGAAATGCAAAATTCAGATAGAATGGTATTTGGCAATACTGATCAATCGCTTTGGACAAATAACACCTTGGAAAAAATTGCAGATGGATTAAATGCTTCCGAGACAGAACAAGTGGTTTGCAACCCTTCTTTACCATTCGAGCCCGTAGAAATTTCTGATGACGATGACGACGATCATAAATACATTCAAACTGCCAATGAAGATTCTAGAGATACATTATTATTAGAAAAATCACGTTCAAGAATATCGTCAGAAATGATTTCTGCTGATGCTTCTACCAGTATATACAAAAAAATTGCAAGTACACACCCAAATGAAGTTGAAAGTAAAGGAAAGTCCTCACTTGATAATAATTTGTCGCCAAATCTGAAACGAAGAACTATCGAGGAAATGTTTCGTGAGCTCCTTTAACATCTGCTAGTACACGAGAAGAACAACCGCCAAATAAGCAAATGCGTATAGGTAGTTTATCAATCAAACGTACAAATATATTATTATTTATATTATATCCCAAATTATTAAAAATATCAACTATATCTTTTACTATCTTTACAGATTCTTATAGAAACAAAACAACATACAAAATAAACAGATAACGTTTGCTGATAGTGGAACATCCGAAGAACAGAGCGATGAAGAACTACAAGAAAAACAATTGTCACAGAGTGAAACGGCAAAGAAAATATTTTCACCGAATTTAAATAATACGTTATGTGATGTAGTGTCAAAGAAAACACTTGATATAAGACAGAATAAAAATTCTAATAAGAACCATGGTCTGATAAATGATATATTGTCAAGCGAAAAAAGTGGTTTAGGCCCAAAGAAAAAACTATCCAGTGATAAAACATTGCCTTCAGAGTCTTCTTCAAATAGACCATCACAAGAAGTCCATGCAATTAATCCATCTGTTTCCACTGCTCAACATAATAATATTCGAGATGAAGAAGCAAGATTTCATGAAGCAAGTCGCGCTACACCTTCTGCTACAGATCCAAATTTGCTAAAAAAAATTGAAACATTAAACAACCAAGTTCAGCGCACAAAAAGATCTAACCGTACTGTATATTATTGTACACAAAGAGCTCAAATAATCGAAAAGTATGTTTTGAAGTCAAACTCCAGAAATATAGAAGACGAATTTATGATATCGGAACTTATTGACTTGAAAAAACTTAGGCATAAAAACCTGGTCACGCTGATAGATGTTTTTGTAGAAAATGACAATATACATATTCTATCTAAATACATGGATGGCCGCACTTTGATTGAATATCTGGAAAAAAGCAGCAAACTAACAATTTTAAATAGGTATGAAATTTCTTTGCAAATAGCCAGAGGAATGAATTACTTAGAAGATAAAAATATCATTCACCGGCAACTAATGACTAGAAACGTAATAGTGCATATTATTACGGGCAATATAAAAATATCAGGCTTGTGGCATTCTAGAATAAAATCATACAATTGTCATGAATCTGAACGGGACGACTTATCTAAGTTTGCAGCTCCTGAAGTTTTGCGAAATCAGGAGTTTTCTCACAAATCAGACGTGTGGAGTTTTGGTGTGGTCCTTCATAATATATTTTCGGATACTGAACATCTCAATCATTTTCAAGCTTCAAACGATATAAACTATAAGTGGCTGCATAAAGGTCATAGATTATTAAAACCATGTTATGCAGATGATGATATTTACAGTGTAATGGCCAAATGTTGGAGTTGGAAAGATGCAGACAGACCAAGTTTTAGAAAAATACTAGAATTTCTAATATACCTAAGCGAAAAGTAATGACTTGTAATGAGAATGAAAAGGGTTAAGTGACTAAATTTATGCTTAATATTATATTATATATATATATATATATATATATATATATATATATATTCTTAGACAGTAATGTAATAAATGTTTAAATTTATATAACCTACTTGAATCAAAAAGTAAATAATTGAATTATATACATTAATCATGATTTATGGTCATGATGTTTCATTATTATGTTATCAATAAAAACACAATAAAAATATATATTATAAAAATATATATTTATTTATATATTTAATATATATATTAGTGTTATGAAAGCAAACGTAAATCTTTACTCCTTTGAACTTGTATTAGCGTAACAAAATTCTCCGTTCTTTCAAAAACTTGATTGTATTTTCTGCCCTCTTTGCTCCGTATCTCCGTAACAGCTGGACCTCTCTTTGCCGAAAACTAATCAGCACATCTACCAATCAATAGGAATCGAATGTTTTTAATCATTCAAATCGGTTGATCCATGCGCCCGCAAACGTGGATGAACAAATGCGGACATACAAAACACACACACATCCATTTATTCTGCGGTATGCCAAAATGTTCAGAAACCTTCAAAACGCGAAGATATGCAAAATTTTTTATTTTTGATTTTCGGCCCATTACTATAACTGCCCTTCGGGAGTTTAACACTTTTAACTACCCGTAGGGCAAGTTATAGTAATCGCAAAAAAATCGAAAATGAAATTTTTTATATATTTTACGTTTCAGAGGTTTTTGAATATTTTGGCCCACCTTAGAAAAAAGGGTGTATGTGTGTGTGTGTGTGTGTGTGTGTGCGGATACAAGTTTCGTAGACCGAGCACGGATCAACCGATTTAAAAAACGGATCAACCGATTTAAAAAATTCAAAAAACATTCGATTCGTATTGATAAGGAGACGTGCTGATCAGTTTTTGGCAAAGGCAGGTCTAGGGGTTCGGAAGATGAAGTGCAAAAAGAGCCAAAAACGGT